CCCCAAAACCCCAAAACCCCAAAACCCCACACTACATTTATACGACAATAATCTTTAGTCAAATTAAAATTTAATCTAAAATAATAAATAATCCTAAATATTTTAATGAGAGGGACTGTGTTCTATGATGGACATAGAATGGAAGCTTTGGAAAATTCCAGAAGTTACAGCATTCACCGTTAAAAGCTCGACAGAATCAGAAATGAGAATAGATTCCTAAATATGAGTAAGTATCTTCATAGATTTAACCTTACTCAATAGGATATGAGCAAGACTACTCATGAAATGAGGAATCAATGATTAAAAGAAAGAATATCAACACTGGTGGAGGGAGTGTAACTAAAGGGCATTTAGGCTAGTTGAACAATAACAGCACTAGCAAAAATAGCTCATCACCTTAGCAGAGCTATACAGGGGGATCAAGTTCTGTGATGAAATCTAATAACGGAGTAAAATTATTATGATAGATACATAGAATATCGCCAACAAGGGATATCATAATGACTAATTACTTCAAAGAAGTATCTCCAACAAGCATTAATAACTTCAAAAAGCAATAATTCAGAGTCAAATCCCTGAACTATGTACAAAGAAAAAGTAAACATAAATTATCTTAATTAATCTAAATAGAGAATGCATTTCAGATTGGGATGGATAATGAAAATCTAGTTAAAAAAATACTAGACATTACAACTAGGAAGAGTCCATTTAAAGAGCGAATTGATTCAAAATAAACTTAGTCTAGGTTGGGATCCAGCAGAGATTAAATGTCAAGAAATATCATGGGAAAGCAAGCAGAATTGAGTAAAACCTTTCACAGCGGAGAATAGCTGAAGAAAAATATGCTAAGAATTAGATAAGAAAATAAGGTCATATTTGGAAAACTCCTTAAAAAAGATAGTGTTGTGGATTCTGCCAAAATTCTAGGATAGAAATGGGAAAATACCCTCTAACTTAGAAAGAAATTATCTAAAACTTTCAGAAGCCCTATAAAGTCTAGCTGCTTTGAAGGAAATAACAGTATGCGAATAGAAACAGCCAATTTTAATAACTATCATCTTCCTCTTATAAGAAATACAAGAAATGACAGTTAAATCAATAATAGTCGAAAAAATGCGAATACAATGGAATAGAAGTTTGATTCAAATGATCAGAGAACTCAGAGAAACAAAATTAGCTTTATAAACTAAAAGAAATAGTTTCATGCTAAAGATTTAAACTCGTAAAATAATGAAAATCTTATCATAAAGGATAAATTTGACTAGTCAATAGATTCTAGTCTAGCTACTAATGAGTTTGATGAGTATTAGCTATGATTATTATAAAATAAATAAAGAGAGATTAACTTTATAGTTAAAAGGATTAATTAATCAATTACATTAGTGATATTCTCTTTTCTTAATCTATCAGTTCTTAAGGAAAAACTGCTTGAAGACATTCTATATTTGTTATTTATCTTCTAAGGGCTTGATTCCTTTTTCAATTTTTACTAGATTGCCGTCTTGATCAATAATGTAAAACTCATTCGCTATATTGCCATCATCATCAATGAAAAAGTCCAATAAAATTCCCTGAATGCCACCATCCTAATTCACTCTATATATTATCATCTTTAGAGTCTTGTCCGTTTTTTCAATAGTAAGCTTATTTGCATTTTTCATTTTGATATCATCTTAAAACTATTCGTCAAAGTAATCTGATAGTGTGGAATCATTAGAATTCTCGAGATCATAAATAAGTGAACAAAGTAAGAACATTATATAGATAACTCCAAAAGTATAGTCAATTGAAGGGTCACTTTATTTTATTATTGATTTTAGACCATCGATTAAAAAGACTTGAAGGGCTATTGATAGATAGGGAGTCAATCTAAGGATCATGTATTGCCAATAGTCGTAATCAGTTATGCCAATATATTCAGTGCCAAATTAGAATACAATTACAAATAGATTCAAATATGCTACGTCTATTGGAATCATAAAGTTCTTATTCTCAAAGCCAGTTTAGTTATCTAGAATGCTCTCGATCTATAGCGATCTCATTATACTTAGACTTATAAGCAGTCCCTGAGCAATTAGACTCACTATAGACATTTTGAAGTTATTTCTAAATGGGTTCTATTTCAATTCATAGACTCTATCATAATTAGCACTTATCTATTCCTGATTGCTGACTACCCTTTCTATTATTTCATTGTTTTCACCTAGAACACACACAAATTATAAGAAAAATAAAGTTACTTCTAGTGAATGAGCTAATCTTAAAAAGATGAAGCGATATCTGAAAGACAGTGACTAGCAATAAATAATACTTGACACCCTTTCTACCGAATATAGGTCCTGGAAGGATTGATTGGAAGATCTGGAAAGCAGAGACTAGGTACATAAATGCGATTAATTTATGTTGAGTGTTTCTGAATCCCTTTGGATAGAAGTATTTAAGTAAGTATAGTAATACTATGATCACTTAAGTAGTTATGATCAATCCTCTGTGATTCTTATAGATCTCATTGATGGTTAATTCGTAGAAATTATAGGGGATGTCCTTGATTGGATCATTAGCAATATGTTCATCTTCAATTAGCGAACTATTTTCAGTGACTGAAAAATTCATTTGTGAATCCTGAAGACCAGTGCTATCCTCTGATTAATTATGCTCCATTAGACTTTCTATTTAATTTAGTTATTTATATTATTTATATATTTGCCTCTAAACTTCGAATGGTACTAGAGAGGGGTTTTGGGGTTTTGGGG